GCCTGTCTATTATAATTATTAAAATAATATTATAAATATTAAATATTAAAAATTAAAAATTAAAAATATTAAAAGCATTAGCGTGCAGTCGTGCCAGTGAAGCAGTAAGATGTCAATGTAAATGTCTAGCTGTATAACAATATCAGACACAATGGACCACAACAATGGGCGCATCCACTGTTATATAATATCATAGATCAACACAGTTGTTGTATAGGTCTATGATAATATTTATAGTTCAAACACGGGCACCCGCATCATATTCACTCACGTGCTGCCAGCGACGATATATATGCTTTGTGAATGTTGTTTATTGATGGCCGCTTTTAGACCGTTTCCGTTCGCAAGTTCGTCTGCTACGACAGCCATCTGTTCATGAGAACTATGGTTGCTTTTCGAGAACAACGCAATGCTTCTTCACTCCGCTTGTTTGCACACACATCGCGTCCAGGCGAAGCAAAGAGGCGCACTTACATGCTAGGCAGAGGCGATATATTATATTAGATCATATTAAGGACACAGGCCGTGTAAAAGATACACCGAGGGGATATCAATGAATTGGACAAGCGAGAGAGTAAACTTCTGTTACGTAAGTAACGTAACATTTACGTAAGTAAGTAATAGTTGATGTAGTATGTAGGTACTGTAACCACCAGACGTTGATTGTGCAAATCAGTGTCGCGTTTTGTTATAGCTTACTCTTATAATCTTATTGTGGCTTCTTCTCACTAGGTTATTATTGGCACCGAGCTCTTATAATTAATTTCTACCTGTTTGTAATATACCCGTACTAAGGTCGTTGGTTGATAATGGACATAGTTCTCCTTTCTTACTGTAGACCTTTCATCTCCACATCAAACAAGGAATATTGTTATTTTTGCGTTGTCAGGGGTGTTAACGAAGACCTGAGTTCTTTCTCAATGACAAAGAAGTCAAAGAATTCTAATAACTAATTATGACTGAATTTGCTTCATTACAGTGGTCGGGTGAATTTGTGCCCCTAGTACAAACATGGTGAAAGTCTGGGCCCGTTGTCAGAAACAGAATTAGTCTTAACATTAGGCTTACGATGTTTCTGACAACGACTCCCCCCCTCCCCGTTCACCAGTTAATATTAGTTGTGTCACGAAGAATCTTGGCAAGAATGTGACCGTTTACAGTCAGTTGACATGTTTTTTATTTTCTTATTGCCGATGCTTTACACAAGATATGTATGACCCAGTTCTGCCGAAAATCGCCATTGTGAACCGTCATCATTTAATTCTCAGGTCACGCAAGTTTGGCTCCCTAAGGCTTGTTTTGGGTTCTTGCTCACATGTCTGGAATTTCAAAGTAGTATATACTGTACGCATTTTAGGAAGAACCAAACAGCAAATAGAAATTGGAATAACTGCCGTAGCCACCCTAGTCACGCACGCACACATATAATATATCATGTTTAAAATTCATTTAAGTTTTTAACTGGGACTGGTGGGACAACCTTCAGCCTGAATGGTGCCTACAGTGTGGCGCGGTTACATGTAAACACACTCCGAACTAAACATAGCTGCTGCTGCTGCTGCTGCTGCTGCGCTGTATGCAACCAAGACTTGGTCGGTCGCCCACAGAAGCCTCACCCACATGCTTAGCAGTCTCTCCATGCATCCCAGCATGAGTCATGAGTGGGCTGGGCGTATGCTGCGAGCAATTTCTACTGTCTGAAAGTAACTACAGATATTAAATTTCAGTCAGTAGCCGTCTAGTAATAAAGTCACCTCATGTGTGAGACTTGAGTAGCTATCAAGTTTTAGTCTAGCAATAAGCCGCCTTATGTGTGGGACTGAGTATCCGTGGCTTCAGTTACTAGCAGTCTAGTAATAAGCCACCTCATGTGTGGGACTGAGTATCCGTGGCTTCAGTCTGTAGCAGTCTAGCAATAAGCCGCCTCATGTGTGGGACTGAGTATTCGGGGCTTCAGTTACTAGCAGTCTTGTAATAAACCACGTCATGTGTGGGACTGAGTATCCGTGGCTTCAGTTAGTAGCAGTCTAGCAGTAAGCCGCCTTATGTGTGGGACTGAGTATCCGTGGCTTCAGTTACTAGCAGTCTAGTAATAAGCCACCTCATGTGTGGGACTGAGTATCCGTGGCTTCAGTTAGTAGCAGTCTAGTAATAAACCACGTCATGTGTGGGACTGAGTATCCGTGGCTTCAGTCTGTAGCAGTCTAGTAATAAACCGCCTCATGTGTGGGACTGAGTATCCGTGGCTTCAGTCTGTAGCAGTCTAGTAATAAACCACATCATGTGTGGGACTGAGTATCCAGTGCTTCAGTCAGTAAGCAGTCTAGCAGTAGCCACCTCATGTGTGGGACTGATATCCGTGGCTTTCATGTTAGCTTGCAGTCTAGTAATAAGCCTGCCTTATGTGTGGGACTGAGTATCGCGTGGCTTCAGTATAGTCGAGTCCTAGCAAATAAGCCGCCTGATGTGTGGGACCTGAGTATCGTGCTTCAAGTTAGTAGCAGTCTAGTAAATAAAACACTCATTGTGGTGGGACTGAGTATCGAGTGCTTCAGATTAGAGGCAGTCTAGTAATAAACCGCTCTCATGTGGGGACTGAGTAATCCGTGCTTCAGTCTTGTAGCCAAGTCTAGTAATAAACCCCTGCATGTGTGGGACTGAGTATCCGTGGCCTCAGTCTGCTAGGCAGTCTAGTGAATAAACCACATCATGTGTGAGACTGAGATCGTCTTGTCCTCCTTAGTCACCTATCTACTATTAGTGGTAGTATAATAAAGGGCGCCTACATAGGCGTGCTACTGCCTACATTGCCTGTCTAAGAGCCTGTGAGTGCGCGTAGTGAAATAGGCAGCGCGAAGCACGGCTCCATATGAAGTTCTGGCAGCCACACTTAAAGTGAGCAGCAAACATCCGGCAGTAATATCCCTGCTTTAGAAAGAAGCCTGCAAAAGTGACTACACTATGAACTCTTGCAAAGTGACAGACGCACTATACAACCTCTGGCAAAGGTGACGCGGCGAAAAACGCTATGGAAAGGGACGCCAATAACTACACTTGCCCACACGCTACTCCCAATCTGAAAAGCATAGGAAGATAGACGCACGCACCCGGAGCGTTATCATTAAGCACCATCAGGTCTGCAAACCGACACCACCTCCACCACAAGTATATACACGTGCAATTCAGCAGATTTTGTAAATTTGTTTAAATGTGTAAAACGCGAGCATAAGCAAAGCTAGACAGATTGGGCACTCACGGAGAAGGGCATACCTCCGCGAGCATAGTAAAAATGCTATGTGTAGCGAGCTGGCTCGCGTGCTGGCTGTCTGCTGGCTGTCTCGCTGCGCTGCTGGCTGGACTGAGACCGCCTGCTGCTGACTCGCCGCTCGCATGTGCGGCATGCCTGACGTCCGGCCGCTCGCTGGTGGCAGCTGCTGACTCGCCGCTCGCGTGGTGTTGCTGCTGACAGTCACTCTCACCGCGGCTGAACTCGCCCGCTCGCGTTGACCTCGACGCGCTATCGATCGCATGCCGCGCGCGCTGACACACACACGCGCCGGCCAAACCCAAACAAACGAACACAAACCAACACACACACACACACAGCACCTCCGCACACACACACAGCACACACACGCACACACACACACGACACGATTACATACCGTCCCCCTGCAACTCCGTGCCGGAAGGTAATATTGATTGTTCTGTCTAGAATTCCAATATAATTAATTAGCCAAGCAAGACAATCGTGAAATCTAGTGGCTAAAGCAATGTGTCAAGAATTTAAGCCGCGTGGCTGACACGCTGTGGTTTTTAGCTCACCCTTTGACATCATCAGAGTATGAGCAATCTGCCAATGGGGTGTCGTCCGTCGTTCCGTCGCCGTCACATTTGCCTCACGGTCAACGATAACCACAGTACCGGTTGACTCAACATTTTCAAAT